AATATAACATTCTATGAAATCCAGAGAATGTGATAAATTTGAGAGGAAATTGTAAATGTTGGAAATTATGAAATTCCCAATGATCTTATCCAACTTGAGCAGATGGAGACTGGTTGTAAGCAGGTTGCCATTTGCCAAAAGAGGGCATGGAAAGGGGCCAGGGCTTACTTCGAATGTACAATAAAGTACTTAAAGATACTTGAAGGAATGGGAGGGGGGAGATATTTTATTTCCATTCTACCAGGGTAGAAATCCAGTTTAAATCATTAAAGGTAGTAGGTAAACAGGAAGAGAGGGAAGTCATTATGAAACACTTTGAGGCTGACCAAACATGATGTCACTGCATGTGATGACTATTTCTAAGGGCTAAATTCCAAATTTGTGATTATCATATTTTGCCACATCTTAGGAGCTAAATTTTATCAGCCACAATTGTACAGATAAAGTAAGAGAATCTGATAATCATAGGGAAAGGGTGGGCTGTTAGTTGATTTTTTAAATGCAAATCTCCTGGTCTGAGTTTCCAAAAAGGAGGATGTCTTACCTGACTGGCTATACATGGTCTTTAAATCTCATGGCCCTTAATTTCAGTCACCAACTGTTCCATCCACAACAATTGCTTTTAGGCTGATGAGTTTCTACATCTCCAGCAACAAGAAAAAATATTGTTTGAAATGACGGAAAAAGAATTCATCAAATCCTAATGTGTGCCTATTCCTTCTTTCTAGTTCTAGATTCCATATTTGGTGAGTTGCCCCCAAAATCCATAATTAAGACAAATCTCTTTGCAAAGCCCGCATATCTCAATAGAAGAGCAAAGACCAACAAACACTACCTCAAATGCATTCAAACAGGTAACTGAATTTAAGTAAGCCAACGTGAGTTTCATAGCTAAGCTCCAAAACATTCTCACCAGCAGAAAACATCCGGTGAAAATTATTTCAAGCCACACATAAAATTCTAACACCCCCTCCTTTTATGTCTTTCAAGCAGAATGATGCAAGATGCTGATTTAAGGAAGCCACAGCTCTGCAATCAACATCATCTTGTGGTTTTGGATACCTGGCCATCTTGTGCCTCATGTTCCTCTGTACTTTTAAAACAAGGATGAAAACTGGCATTCTGACCTTTTGTATTTATCACCTATGCTTCAGTGGAATATCAGCTAAACTGCCAAAGGGGGTGTGTGTGTGTGTGTGTGTGTGTGTGTGTGTGTGTGTGTGTGTGTGTGTGTGTGTG